AATTAGAAGGTGATTAATCAACTAATCATATGGAATTAACAAACCCTAACTCGACAAATCAATATTCAATTGTTACTAATTGCAAGATCGAAGTGTCACCCTTCGATTATATCAAACTATCAAGAACAAATTCATCAATTCCTAATCAATTCAACTCACATTAGCATGAACAATCTTGAGCCCGACAAATGCACGTTAAACAAGAACAATCATCTCCTATCCCTAGCAATCAGATTTAGCTACGTAAATTCAATTCAACAATCATAATCATAATCATAGCTCTCAAATAACCATTATTCATGAATCAAATAAGAGAAATGAATACTTACAATCAATCCAAGTTCCAAAGTTGAATTTGAATTACAAGCTTAATCCCTTGATAAGAAAAAGAAGAAGAAAAATGGAAAATAATGATTAAGAGAAGAAAAGGAACGAGGAAGAAGAAGAAAGAAAAGAGGAGAAAGAGATTTTGTGTTTTCTCCGGACCTAGGGTTTTCACCCCGGTCGAGAGGTGTTCAAACCTCGCCAAAAAAACTCCCTAAAAACGAATCTGAAAACTGCTTTTAAAACCCTGCTATCGCGACCCCCGCGGCCGCGACCATACCTCCGCGGCCGCGGTGAAGAAAGGTCCGCGGCCGCGACCATCTCCGAGGCCGCGAGATCGACTGGCCAGCAATGGGACGTTTTGGGCTGTTTTGGGACCCTCGCGGCCGCGACTTCTCCTTCTCCGCGGCCGCGGCGACTAAAACTGGCAACTCGCACGACCTTGCCTCTCGGGCCCGTTTGAGTTCGTTTCAACTCGGAATTCGATTCCGCTTTTTTCCTGTGTGTTCCCAACGAACCCCTTTACTTGATTAGGCTTGCCCAGCTAGTATTTTTCCAAAATCTTGTTCTCCCGAGACTTCTAACCTACACACCAACGACGACAAAAGAAACGGAAAACGAACGAAAAACACAAGAAAAACCAAGAAGAGAGCAAACGCTAATTAAACTATAAAATGAACTAAAACTCATCTAAACAACCTAAAATGGGGAAAAAGAAAGACAAAAAGACAGCGAGAAACACAACAAAAATGGGACCAACAAATACCTAAGATTAGTTGATTTTGTTAGCAATAAAATAGGATACGAATTAGATTGTGAAATCTCAATTGATTCAAAATATTGATTGCACGTGTTTTTTAAATGATTTTGTTAGCAATTAAATTCTAGATTTTTAAACATCTTCCCCAATTTAGTAAGTCAAAGTTTTGACTCAATTATTTGAGGTTTCCAAAAATAAATTTAACATCAACCTTTTTCAATATATATAGAAGCTCGAAAATAAGATGTTTTATATAATTTTTTATAATTCAGCTCGTTAAGAGTCGTTAATATTGACAAACAAGCTCAAGTTTGATCACTGCCTCATTAAAGATTCAATCTCGGTTCAATTCGTTTACGGCTCTATTAAACAAATCTATCTATACTACAAGTAATGTAGAAGGTTGCCTATTAAGAGCATCTCTAATAATAATACACCCCAAACCTCCATTCTCTATTCCCATGTACCTCATAAGTCAAAACTTCATTCTTACGCTACAACCACAAACCTCTCATAACCATAAATTTCATAAATATCTTATATCATGGATCTTACATGTCTCCCAATTTGAGTAAGCGTATGAATGCCGTATTTGCAACTTTTGTTCATAGAGTGGAGAGCACTTGCTCCACTCCACTATCTCCATTTTTTTCATTTAAACAAAAATAAAGTTTCTAAGCTTTGTGTTTCCAAAGTTGTGTTGAAAACTCCACCTTCCAACTTTGCAACTTTATCAGAAAAGCTGGGAGGTTTAATTTCTTAAACCCCTCCAAACATTGCCATTAGTTGTTCTAATAATTAGTGAGTCATACTTTTTCAATACATAATTTCATATTCAAATATCATACTGTAAGTATATAATAAAAACAAGAGTGACATTTTATATTATAAACATGCAATTTTTTTAAGACAAACATTTAGGGGTGATTGAATATGAATTCAACTAGTAAAAAATTGGTATTTTTTTAATTATAGTTAAGTTTTGAAAAAAAAATGATATAGTTATTTGTTAGTGGATATATTAAAATAATATTTAAAATAAAATAATTAAAGTTGATTTGATGTAAAAGTAGGAGAAAATGATTGGAAGTGATGGTTAGTTAAAATTATATGAGTGGATGAATAGTGAATTAAAGCTGATGTGATGTGTAAGAATAATTACTTGATATTATTTAATTATATTGATAATATTAGAGATAGTGGACTTGAATTAAAGTTGAATTAAATTTGAGTTTTGATTGATTTTTTTACTGTACAATTTATAAACAATTTTATAAACAATCGCCCTTAGTATATTGCTGTCTAGTTGTTGGTCAGGCTAACAGCACCAAAAGGCAATCTTAAAAAAATAACCATTAATTATTCAGGGGCATTAATCAGGTTCACATTGTAAGTACCAGAATGTACCCAACCGACATATATCCAATGACAAAATCAAAGTCCCAAAACAAAAGACAACACTAAACACTAAGACAAAAAAATAAAAAAATAAAAATGNCGAGCTCGGATGCCTAGAGCACGTGCTTGAGCCGATAGTTGTACAGATAGTAGTGAAGCTTCCCATCCCCCGGCCCAAACTTCAGCTCCTTCAAGAAGCTCTCGTTCTGCATCACATCCAAAGCATTAAAAACATCGATATCCTTCTTCTTGGCCACAATCAGCGCATCGTTCATCAGCTGAAGCAAAGGAGTCTCGAGAGTATAGAAACTGCAAAAATCGGTGATCCGATGAGTTTCAGGGCTCTCGACCAGAAAACTATCCACAACGCCTTCTTCCTTGGGCAGCAACCAGAAAACTGGCCATTCTTGGAGGAGCGAAGCGGGAAAAGAGTTATACTGCTGCGAAAATTAGAGGCAAATAAATGCTCAGAAAAATTGCATTCTTTGATGAGAAGTTGTTTGATTGTGTGTGTGCCGTATTTAGTTTTGTAGCAGATTTATTGGGCACACGCTAGCACACAAACTAACTCATCAAAAATAAAGCACCTGTTGAGTTTTACTAAAAACATCATAACAAATTCAGAATGTGGTCTGAAAAACACATGAATACTCTGTGGAACAAGAGCAATAAAAAACGCTCATGAATTCTTTTGCCAACGGTTTCTACACCTGCAGATTTCAGGTTTTTGAAACAAGTGCCCGTCAAGTTCTTATTTGGCGAAAATGACATGATGTACCATTTTTCGGGCGTGAAAGAGACCATAAAGACTAAAAACTACAAGAAGCTTATTCAACATCTAGAAGTTGTGGTGATGAATGACGTCGGACATTTCCCCAACCAAGTGAAGGCCGATGAATTCAACGAGCACATTTATAGCTTCATCTCCAAATACTAGTTAAAATATATTACTTCTATGTATTGTTGAACTACCAAGAACTCTCATTATGTTTGATCAAACAGAAACGATGATTTCGAAATAAATTAATTATATTGAGCTTTATATGATAATATCGAGTTGCGTATCTGTGTACGTGCATGCATCATATATACAATTCAAAACAGAGCATCTTATTCTCAAAGCAAATCTAGTTTGAGCATAGAAGGCAAACAGTAACGAATTATGGTACGCTGTACAAATTCATAATCAGCAAACGCTATCAAAAAAAGAACCCGCGAAAACATCTATATCTGATGTTGGGCTGAAAACAAAGTCAAAGTTTACATGCGGCAAATCGGTTAGTAGGCACACATGCCATCCCACCACTTCATAGGTTCATGTCGTAAAGACAAACAACAAAGTTCAAAACAGAGAAGAGATATGTCCGGACTTTCGTGCATCTAAATTTATGCATAGCTAACATCCCAAATGAAGACAGAGGAACCGGGCATCATAAAATGAAAAAGAAAAAAAGGAAAAATTGATTCGAAACAAAGAAAAGAGTTTTATTCGTTTATAGTTTGCATGGAGGAGAGTAAACCAATTTCTAAATGAAACCAAATTGTATAGAGCAAGACAGATATCACTATAACTAAAAGAGCTCTTCGGTATTAAGATTACCATATTCCCTCTTTAGGAACTTAACCTTACATTCCTTAGAACCTGGCTGCAACTGTAAAATTCTTCTCTTGAGCGCATCAAACTCCAAATCTTTGCATGGAGAGTAATGAATCTTGACAACCTTCATCAACTTCAGGACTTCAGCATTTCTCAGAACATAACTTATGAATAACCATTCCTTCGTGCACTTGAATGGCTCGATCGTCACAGTTTTGAGATGCGATGACAGACACGTCGGAACTTGGTGGGGCTCCCTCCATTCTTTGATATTATCTCCGCCATGGTGGATCGTAAGGACTTGAAGATTATCAGCCTTCTCAAGAAAAAACGAGATAAAACGCCAGTCTGCAGTTAATGCGAGTTTGGTTAAATTATGAAACTTCACATTCAGAGCAGAGAATGCGGAGTCAGGAAGCTGCATCCCTATAAAATTTAAATATAAATTCCCCACATTACACAGCTTGCCCACAAATTCTAACCTAGAGCAAGATTTGGGAAAATAACAACCGAGAGAAACATCTGCCACCGCCAATGAACCAAGTGTCCCAACAGAGATATTATCGAAAACATACTCGTGAATGCTTAAAAACCTAAGCGCCGGCGTAAGTAGCTTCACCCAATACTTCTTTCGACCATGGACAAATCCATAGTCAAGAGGTTCTATATTGAGCTCGAGCCTAAGTAGCGTCCGCGAACAAATCTCCAAATTTTGGACCATATCACAATTAAAAATGTCGAGCTCCTCAAGCACCGGGCAGCCAGATATCAGGCGAGGCAAGGATTCAGCCCCCCCAATAAGAAGCCTCTTAAGGGCCGGCAGGCACACATCGAAGGCCGCCGGGATCACAACATAACCACCAATCTTCAATTCCACTAGGGTTTCACACATTAAGAGGCAATTGGGCATCATAACCCGTTCGCCCCCCAAACCGGATAAATAGATAGAGATATTCCGGACATTGCGGAAAACGAGAGCGGGAATCCAGCCCTCGATTTCAAACTCGTAGTCGCTAGAATAATTTGTTAGTTGGAAAGTGTGTACCGTTTGCCCTTTGTGCGCCGACACGACTTCAGTGACGATGTCCCTAAAGCGGCGTTCGCAGCCACCGCCGCATTGGAAACTTAAGAGGGGGACATGGGCCCACAGGGACCGCCATCTTCTTGAGAGGACGCTGGTGCACACAGAGAGGCGGGTGGTCGGGAGGAAAGAGAGAATGTGTAACAGAACGTCGTCCGGCAAGGCGCCGAGTCTGTCAAGCGGTGGTTGCTTCTTTGCCGGCATGGGCAGAATTGAACAACAACCGGAGCCGATAGAGAGGTGGAGGTGTGAATCAAACGTATAGAGGTTAGGGCTTATTTGTATCTCAACGAACCGAGCTTTCGCTTGGCTCTACTCTTTAAGGTTCATCTATCCATAATCTATTACTAGTAAGCATAGGTTTTGTACTTTCAAATCTTTTTTTTAAAAATTTATTTTAACCGTTGATTCGTTTATGTTGATATAAATAAGTTTTTTAACATATATATCTATGTGTTCATACAAAAAAAATAATAATTTTACTTATTTTTATCATCATAATACTTGAATATTATTTTATTCTAAAATATATTGTATTATTATTATTATTTATAACACTTATAAAAGAGTATTCTTTTTTTTATTATATATAATGGCAAATATAAAAGTAGTATTCTTTTTTTTATTATATATAATGAAAAATATTTAAAGTACATTAAATATTATTTATTGACGTAATTTATTTAAAAATATATAAATAAATTTAAAATAAACATTTTGCCATAAATGCATTCTATTCAATTTTTAAAATTTATCCTATATTACAGAATAGTTAAAAACAATCTATACTTATATTAAAAGGTATCCCATTTACCAGATTTAGTATAAAGAAAAGTCAAAAGTAATTAATGTTTGCTGGAAATAGAATGACATTAATTACAGATTTATTTTGGTATTTATAATTTGACATTAAAGATTTGTTATGGGATAAAAATCAGAACCGATTTTTTTATCTTTGCTGGAAAAGTCAAGTGTAAGTATAGATTTATTTTAGTCCATAACATCGGTTTAGTTAAAATAATCTCATAAAATCGGTTTTAATGTCAAGCCTATAAATAAATATTTAATCAGTTTTAATAAAGCAGATTTAATCGATTTTAATAATTGCATAGAATTTCAAAGCTGTTATTTATTGTAAAAAAATAAAATTCTAAAAAAATATTTGTGTATATTTTGTAAAATGTTTGTACAAAATGTTTTACTTTAAATTTAGTTACATAATTTAAATTAATTACATTAATAAATAATATGAACATACATTAAATATTTTAATTACATAAAACAAAAAGAAGAAGAAGATTACATCTATAACTTATAATAATAATGACATTATACTACAATAAATTTTATAATGAAATAATATAAGTATTATACGAGAAACAAGATTGCGTAAAATTGTTATTTTTCTTATATCAATGAATAAATATATATAATGAAATCAAATTTATATTATTATAAACATGTGAGCGAGATAATATATTAATTAATTTACGGGCTAGCGCTACCAGACTCAGGTTTAATGTTCCGACAAAAAAAATGACGTTGATGAAAAGATGTAAAAAAATAGATGATCAAACTCTATTATTTTTTAAGCTTGAACGGACAAGCCCTATGGTCTACTCATTTAATATCTCCCGTGAATCGCACGAGCTACTTAACGGACAAGTTCTGTGGAAATAACTCATTAATACTTATGTCACGTGCATCGCACGGGCTACGTGCTAGTATATTAATGCACGCACACAGGTCACACACACACACACACACACTGTTAGAGTAGAATACCCGGCGTTCCAATCCGATTGGACATATTCTACTTGTAAATACAATCTATTGGAATTATATTAATAAATAGGCATTAATTTATCTTATGTATTAGCATTTATCCTATATTTGCACATATGATAAAGTCCCTAGATCACTTATAGCTATGAGGTATGGTTGCGCATAGAGATGGTGATCATGGAACATATCTTAAAAGTTGTGAGCTTAAAAACAGTTCCAAGTCATTGGATATTTCGAGATGGGATATCAAATAATCCGAAAAGACTTGTACATATGTTGAATGCTTGATGGTCAAGAATGTTGCATTCCATCAACATTAGCGTGGGACGCAAGTTCATACATGTAGGTGCTTGTTAGAGAACAAGTTCACTGAACATGACCGTATGAAAATTCTTAATGAAAAGTCGAATAAGAATTTTCATGTTACAATACTACATGATTGATCCTATGACTTGAGGCACGATGGTAATCTTGTGCATGTTATACTTTACCTTGATTTATCCTTTTGGTTGCTAGCACAATCGTATAAAGGGATATTTTGGGTATTGTATTAATATGTATGAAAGTTTGTCAGTGGCTAACAAAGGATTCGACACTTATGTGATAAGTGAATTTCCTATGTGTTTCATAGTTTGTAATTCAAAGTCCTTGGCCAAGGCGGGATGAATAGAGATTCATACACGAATTACTAAACTTGAAATGGAATCATAGTTATTAAATCAATTGAGTTTCGACTTATAAAATCATACCCAAGATTTAATCGGGAAATTGGATGTCGAAAGGATTTTACATGTATGGACTTGTAATCGAAAAGGTTTACTCACTATTCACTTAATACTAGATTCATGCTACTTGCTAGATGTTCCCATGATATGTGGGTTCTTGAAATTAAGGAGTTAATTTCATGAATAAGATTAATTCAAATTACAAAAAAGTTGTAAACCCACTACTAGTATTAATAGTGAACCTAAAAGGTCACACCCAATTTTGAATGTAGATAATTTGAAATTAGTATTTCTAGAGAGTTAGAATTAATTGATAAGTATTAATTAAATAATTTGATTATTTAATTAATTCTAATTTTGATTAGATATCAATTAAATGAATATACTAAATTAATCAATTTGATTGATTAATTATATTTTGGATATTAAATAAGTAATTAATGGAATTACTAAATTAATAGTTGGATTTTAAAATTAGATTTTAAAATTCAAATCCATATTATAATATGATTATAATAAGAGGAGATTTTATAAATATGTGAAATAATATATTTTGATCATAATATTTAATCTTTAATTTGATTAAAGATTAAAATAATAAATACAATATTATTAGATGGGATCTAATGATATTTTTTATTAAAATCATTTTAGATCTAGATGCCATCTAATTTAAATAAAATAATGATTTTAAAACTACAATATGACATCTTGTGATCTAAATGTTTTAGTATAAATAGGTGTACAGTGATGTACAAATGACACATTTGTATTAACAAGAAAAATTGAGAAAGAAAAATCACAAGAGTTGTGAATCAAGAAGTGTTCTTGAACTTTGAAAATTATTTCCATATCAAGAATAATTCTTGAAAATTTTAATAAAGATTAAAATTATAATCTCCTCTAAAATAAATATTCCGATACTAATTGAACAAATCGAGAAGTTTCTACTAGCGAAGAAACTAGTTCTTGAGATTGAATTTCAAAAAGGTGGATACTATTAGAGGGAAGACGATTGGATTCCTAAAGTGAGTAACAAGAAGAATTAATCGTTACTAAACCGGGAATTGATTTCCTCTATCATCGTCAAAGTTGAAGGAGTTCAAGTTAAAGGTAACTTTGAAACTATCATTAAATCAAAATTTGTATTTATACATGTTTTTAAATGATGACGATCTGTTTATTCGCTTTATGTATTTACGGGTTAAGTATTTATGTGATAAATACTTGTTTTAAAAATTTTATTCCGCTGCAAATCACCCGTACGGTACAGACGAACCCAACACACACACGGTGGCACTCCAGCCCTCAACCGCCACCCGTCGTCTCCGACCTCACCCAGCGCCGCCCCGCCATCGCCAGATCCCGCCACCCGCCGCCGTCGCCATCCGTCTATCGCCACAGTCGCCATCCATCTGTCGCCGACGTGGCCATTCTCAGCCCACCATCAGCATCCAACCTCCGCCGCCGTACAAACCAGCCCGACATGTTGCGCGCCTCCGTCACCACCCCGACACCGGCAACGTTGCGACCGTCATTTCCAACCCGCCTCCGCTTTCACCCCTTGCCGTCCATTGTCTGCTCATGCTGCCTCCGTCAACGTCGCGGCCGTCAGCCGCTTCAATGTCATGAAACTCCTCCGCCGTCTTGGCCTCTCGCCAAAAAATCGTCGGTGAATGTCAGCGGCGAATGACGGTCCAACGTCAGCCGTCAATGACCTCTGTGATTTTGGCACCGGCTGCAACGCCGACAAAGGTGCCGTGAAATTTTGACCGGGTGGTTGGAGATGGTGAAGGGAGGTTGTGTTGATTTAGGGGGGCTAGTGTTGAAAATTAGATGACTGTTAGGGGCATATTTTCATTTCAGTATTTTTAGCATATTACAATTTAGGTCCTAGGTACAATTTGTAATTAAACAATCTATAATTAATATTGTAATATTTTCATTTATTTTCTGTTGGTTATATCTTGTTCGATCTTGTGCAATCTCTTAGCCATTTATATGCTTTATATGCAATATGTATAACCATAATGTGCAACCGCAACACACAAAAATATAGATAAAAAAATTGTATGTAAAAACTTATATATAAAAAAATCTGTAATATTTTTCATATAGTTCGACATGTTCGGTTATTTTGTTTATTTTAAAAAACACTAAAACCGACATTTAACCAACTAGTATTATTCGATCGATTATCAAAATTACTGTATTTTTCGTACGACTGCGTGTTCTTTTATATGGTGCAACATGATACGTTAAAAGGTGCAACTCATTGTTGTATAAAGTGCAACGTAATGATATATTAAGTGCAATACTGAAATTTTGATATGTTAGCGTGCTTGTATTTTTATTTTTATTTTTTACTTTTTTTTTGTAGATAAATGATGTGATAGATATTAAAATATTATGTATATCCATTTTTTAATTTTATATTGCGTCATATCTTGGCAGGAGCTGTTGACATTAATTGTGGAATGTGGTGATAAAGTGTAACATGTCGTGTTATAAAATGCAACTTGATGTTTTATACAGTGCAAAAATGTTATTAAGCAGAGTAATTTCTTTTTGAAAATTTTTGAATATCCCGTCTAGGCGTATTTCGAAACTTTTCGATAAAAAATTTAATTCAAATATTCAAAGAAATTATTGACTGCATATTTATTTTTGGTATATTTCATCTTTATCTTAAGTTCTATAAAATCTCTTCATTGTAAGTTGTCACGAAACCTTATTCCATTCGTAATTCTCTTCGCTCAACACAATCGCTGCTACCAAGACGAAGAAGAAGCCGCAAACTGTTCCCATCCAAGAATTCGTCAAGTTGGAAGCGACCCAATAAATAAATAATTTTATTGTACAATAAATATTTATCACTATATATATGAAAAAATATTACTTTTATAAGTATTGTAAATATTAATAATGACATTATGTGACAATAAATTTTAAAATAAAATAATTTTGAGTATATGATGAACACAAATTAGTGAAATTATTATTATTATTATTATTTTGTATAAAAAATTACATAAATGTGTGAAAAATATAATTTTTATTAATATAAACCGGTCAACGAGTTAATATATTTTTAAAATAAAGTTTTAAAAATGAATTTGAGGTACAAAACCATCTGTGCATCACACGGGAAGCTTACTAGTTAAAACTCAAAAATAAGATGATTTGTATATTTTTTTATAATTCAGCTCGTTAAGACTCGTTAATATTGATAAACAAGCTCGAGCTCGAGCACTGGTTCATTAAAGATTCGAGCTCGGTTCGATTCGTTTACGGCTCTATTAAACGAATCTATCTATACTACAAGTAATTTCACATATGATAGAGTTGATTCATATTTGTATGAGTTATTTGAGTATTTTCACATATAGATAGAGTTGATTCATATTTATATGAGTCATTAAGAAGTTTGACACTGTGTATATGTGTATAATCTAACGATAGAAAACAACTACCGGTTAGATGTTCTTATCAAACTTTTTACACACCCATGTAAGTGCGTATGAGTGTGTGATCCCAAGGACGGAGCCATGACAAAGGCTGGGGGTGGGCTCTAGCCCGTGACTCTAGCCTGATCTTAATTTTTTCGAATTTCTAAATTTATATTTAGTGAAAAAATATTTTAGTTATCTTATATTATATTAGCACTGCTTTAATTTTATTTTGGCTCAATATAAATTAAATTATTTTGAGATTAAATAAGTGAATTATATTTTTGAATACTTTTATTTACGACAATATTGATCGTGCTAGACTTCTATATGAATACTTACTATGTAATTGACTAATTGAATTTACATTTAATAAATAAAATATACCAAAATCCAATACTCTAACTGAGTTGTTCTATTCTAGTTGTTTGGTAGTCAAGCTCGTTTGAATATATAAATGACTCAAGTTTTTGAATTTTTACAAATCGAATTAAATTATACTAGCGCACAATTATCTTCCAATAACAGCTTCATGTTAACCCTTCCCCCCAAAAAAAAATAGTTTTTTTTTTTTTTTNGATAGAGAAAAGAGAAAAAATAAAAAATAAAAAATAAAAAATTGATGGCAATGCCCTGAGTTGGTGGAATTTGCCGAGTCTGCTTACCATCAATGTCGTATTTTATCAAGTTATGAAGGTAGTAGTACAGGTTTGTACTTTTTGGTTTCTAGCTCAAAGAGAAAGGAGGGTTTTCTTTGTACAAATAACATAATATGTGTCACCCAAATTGTAGGCATATATTGTGACCACAAATATTCTCGTTTCATACAAATAGCAAGTTATATAATCCTAAATGGAAATCCATTTTTACCGTACTACAAAATATATTACAAAACCGAGGAAGGTCACAACTCTGTAAGACAACCACATACATCAAGACATCAGTTGGTGTTCTGTTAGGCTATCTATTAGTCATTCTGTTAGTTGGTCTTCTGCTAGCTAGGTTGCCTATTAATAAAAAGTGAGCCGTACATATATTATCAACTACATAATTTCATATTCAAATAACATTCTTTAAATATACAATAAAAACAAGAATGACATTTTTAGTATAACCATGCATTCTTTGTAAGACATTTAGTCATGGTGTATTGTTGTTTTATGTTGGCCAAGCCTAACAGCACCACAAGGCAATCTTAAGAAAATAACCAGTAATTAATTAATAATTTAGGGGCATTAATGAGGTCATTTTTTTTTTTTTTTTTGGGTGCAGAGGAAGAGACCAATGCTTAAGCACAAGGAACAAGAACATTATGTGGGAACTATATATTCTTCTCCTTACTGAGGCGGCATTTGGGCAGTCCCTTAAAGTATGCAGCAAAATCTCTTCTTTGGCAACACATAAAATTTCGAACTATTTGTGGTCCACTCTAAGAGTAATTACTTTCCACAACCGTTTATAACTTAAATCCCTCGGTTGGAGCAAACTCCCATATGCTGATTTTGTAGTAAACTTGTCTGTCAAATGCGGTGGTAAGATGGCAGCCACACGCATTCTAGCCTTTGCTGGCAGAAGATGAGTAAATAACTCCCATTTCCACTTTGCCCAGCTCATCGACAAATACATCTATAGTAGCTTATCCAATGACAAAATCCAAGTCTCAAAACAAAAAAACAACACTACGACAAAGACAAGCTTTGCAGAACTCATTTATTTTTTTATTCTTTTTACTTAGAGCACCTAACCACACCACATTAGGCAAACCTCAAGAAAACACAACAAACCCACATGCTTCTGAAACACCTACACACAGAATCCAAACCTATAAGAGCACGAGCCCGAGCTCGGATGCCTTGAGGACATGCTTAAGCCGATAGTAGCAAGTTGTGTATCTATGTACATGCATGCATCATATATACAACTCGAAACAGAGCATCTGATTCTCAAAGCAAATCCAGTTTGAGCATTGAAGGCCTAAAGTGATGAATCAAAGTGCATTGTCCAAATTCATAATCAGCAAATGCCACCAAAAAAAGAAACCGTGAAAACATCTATTCTTATATCAGATCTTGGGCTGAGAACAAATTCAAAGTTTACATCCGGCAAACCGGATAGTAGGCACACACGTCATCTCACCACTTCATAGGTCCTTCACGTCGTTAAGACAATCAACAAAGTTCGAAACAGAGAAGAGATATATGTCCGGAGTTTCGTGCATCTAAATTTATGCATAGCTAATATCCCAAATGAAAACAGTGGGACCGGGCATCATAAAAAGAAAAAGAAAATAGGAAAAACTGATTCGAAACAAAGAAAAGAGTTCTATACGTCTATAATTTGTATGGAGGAGAGTAAAGCAATTTCTAAATGAAACCAAACAGTTTGTAAACAATTCTTCGCATGAGAAGGTGAGCGTATAGTGCAAGATAGATATCACTAAAACTAAAAGAGCTCTTTGGTAAAATAATTCACATCCTCTCTGGGAACTTAATCTCACATTCCTTAGAACGTGGCTGCAACTGTAAAATTCTTCTCTTGAGCTCATCAAACTCCAAATCTTTGCATGGATAGTAAGGAAGCTTGATGACCTTCATCAACTTCAGGACTTCAGCATTTCTCAGAACATAACTTATGAATAACCATTCCTCCGTGCACTCGTATGGCTCGATTGTCACAGTTTTGAGATGCGATGATAGACACGTCGGAACTTGGTGGGGCTCCCTCCATTCTTTGATATTACCACAGCCCTGAAGTAGATAGAGAAAAAAGGAAAGGTCAGAAGACCCATCACTCCCATTAGAGACGCAAAAAGGAAGAAAACCATTGATTAAAGAATAAACAAAAAGAAAAGCGGACAAACAATTACACGGATCATAAGGACTTGAAGATTATCAGCCTTCTCAAGAAAAAACGAGATAAAACGCCAGTCTGCGCTCAATGTGAGTTTGGTTAAATTATGAAACTTCACAGTCAGAGCAGAGAATGCAGAGTCACTAAGCTGCAAGGAGTTAAAANAACAACCAGAAATCACAAACAAATTAATCAAACTCTTACCTCCATCCCTCCAGCACGTAAATTTAGAGTCCCCACATTACACAGCTTGCCCACAAATTCTAAACCGAGAGAAAGAGAAACATTTGCCACCGCCAATGAACCAAGTGTCCCGGCAGAGATATTATCGTAAACAGACCCGATCATGAATAGAAACCTAAGCGCCGGAGTAAGTAGCTTCACCCAAAAGTACTTGTTTCCACCAGATCCATGGTCATCAGAAGGTTGTATATTGAGTTCGAGCCTAAGTAGCGTTGGCGAACAAATCTCCAAATTTTGGGCCGTATCAAAATTAACTATGCTCAGCTCCTCAAGCACGGGGCAGCCAGATATGAGGCGGGGCAAGGATTCAGCCCCCTCAATATAAAGCCTCTTGAGGGCCGGCAGGCACACATCGCCGGCTGCCGGGAGCACGACATAACCACCAATACGCAATTCCACTAGGGTTTCACACATTAAGAGACAATTGGGCATCGTCGTCCATACGGTCTCAAACCAGGAGACAAAGATAGAGATATTCCTGATATTGCGGGAAACGAGAGCGGCAATCCAGCCCTCGATTTCAAATTCGTTGAAGTCATGATCAGTTGTTAGTCGGAAAGTGTGTACCGTTTGCCCTTTGTGCGCCGACACGACCTCGGTGAAGATGTCCCCAAAGCTGCGGTCGGAATAACTGTCGTATTCGAAACTTAAGAGGGGGACACGGGCCCACAGGGACCGCCATCTTCTTGAGAGGACGCTGGTGCACACAGAGAGGCGGGTGGTCGGGAGGAAAGAGAGAACGTGTAACAGAACGTCGTCCGGCAAGGCGCCGATTCTGTCGAGCGGTGATTGCTTCTCTGCCGGCATGACCAGAATAGAACAAGAGACGGTATAGAGGTGGAGATGTGATTTGAGAGGTTAGGACTTTTTTGTATGCGTTGAACAAACCCAAAAAAACTTTAAACAGTAATTAAAAAATAATTAAGATTCGTGTCTAAAACTTTATTAAATATATATCATGTGATGCACGGATAAACTCATATTTTAAATTTTTTTTATTTTATTTTAAATATAATTTTATATATTTTCACATCTCATTTATTATGAAAATAAAATAAATAAAAATAATAAAAAATATATATTATTAAACACTTCTCTTTATACAATAATTTTTATTTAAGGAATCTAAGAGCAAATTACATTCCACAACCGTTTATAACTTAAATCCCTCTGTTGGAGCAAACTCTCATATGCTGATTTTGTAGTAAACTTGTCTGTCAAATGCGGTGGTAAGATGGGTAAATAACTCCCCATTTCCACTTGCCCAGCTCATCGACAAATACATCTATAGTAGAATACCCAATGACAAAATACAAGTCCCGAAACAAAAAACAACACTACGACAAAGACAAGCTTTGAAGATAAAATAGCTACAAAAGTTGGGTACATAACTCAATTATTTTTCCATTCTTTTTACTTAGAGCACCTAACCACACCACATTAGGCAAACCTCAAGAAAACACACAAACCCACATGCTTCTGAAACAGCTTGTGAACTGGGGCCAGCCGTTTTGACCGGAGCTTCTTGTTAACACACAAAAATTTCACCGAGTCGCGTACTCGGTTATGAAAGCAACTATTCCGTGCTCGTTTTCTTGTGGAGGAAATTATAAATTTAGTCCCAAACTTTTTGTTGTTTCCCACATTTGGTCCCAGGCACGCCATTTATGGTCCTTTTTGAATTTTCGTTGCCAAAATGGTCCCACTCCGTCAAGACTTAACAGTCAAGATTTATAGTCTGGGACCAAATGTGGGAAACAACAAAAGTTCTGGGACCCAATTTACAATTTTCTCAAAGAGTAAGTGATAAAAATTATTTAAATTTATGTTTATTAGAAACATTTTTTTAAAAAGTTTTTAGTAAATATTAAAACGGTATATTACCGTTCTTTCCTAACAATACATTTAGTTTATTTTTTAGTAAATTATAAAAGATAAATATAACTAACACACAATTCTTTCACATTTTTTAATTGTAAATTAAAGTTTAACTTGGTTTTTTTACATAAAATGATTATTTAATTGGGTAACTTAACAAAAGGTGTATAAAATAATTTTATTAATTAGTTCATGATAAATGAGACGCAAAAAAATATAGGATATATTTTACTATAAATAAGTGGGAGAAAATGTCTATTTTCACTTAATTTAATGCCAAATTTTGTTTTATTATGCTTAAAATTGAAATTTTTTATGTAGATGCAATTTGCATGAATAAATAGATTTTTCAATTTATAGTTGTCAAAATCAAATTAATAAATAAAAATATTTTAAAATAAAAATAGACAGTAATAAAAAAAAATATTTTAGATTTACTTTTTTTTTAATTCGTATTATTTTGTAAAGTTTGTAAGGATATATATAAATTATCACATTATACTAATATTTAAAAGTGTAGACGGATTAGTATTATTGTAAGCATACTCACATGTTTTTCTTATTTTGATAAATTGGATGTTTTTTGGTTTGCTTTATTTAATTAAAATAATACTAATTTTATTTATTCTTTAATTTAAATAATATTCAAATAATTGTCAATATTTTTTAAGTAATGACGGTAAATATATTAGAAAATAAAATAAATACCACTAAATTAGCAATTATATCGTTTACTTTTCCACCCCAAATTAAAATTTATCAACGCCTTTACTTTTTCACCCGATATTTATTTTTATAAAATTATTTTTAATATTTATTTCTCGCATCATATTCATAGTAAATTAATTTTATTATGTCATTTCAGCTTTGAGTGAATGAGAGAGACTTGAAAAACTTGAAAAACTAATTTTTTTTTTTTGTTGAAAAACTGCAAAATTGGTCCCAAAAATTACAAAATTGGTCCAATCTAACGTCCTCACATGAGCCCCGTCAATCTTGACGGACGTGGGACCATTTTGGCAACGAAAATTCAAAAAGAACCATAATTGACGTGTCTGGGACCAAATGTGAGAAACAGCAAAAGTTTTAGGACCAAATTTGCAATTTTCTCTTTTCTTCTGGATGTACGTTTTCCTCGGTTGGTGTGTCTTCACCGGCCATTCTTGGAGTAGGCGAAGCGGGAAAAGAGTTATACTGCTGTGAAAATTAGAGGCAAATTGCTCAGAAAAAATGCCTTCTTTGATGACAAGTTGTTTGATTGTGTGTGTGCCGTATTTAGTTTTGTAGCAGATTTATTGGGCGCACAGTAGCATACAAACTAACTCATCAAAATTAAAGCACCTGTTGAGTTTTAAGAAAAACATAATAATACTCCCTCCATTTTGAAATATAAGGCCTATAAAGATTTCTCATGTTTTTTGAAATATAAGGCGCGTTCAAAAATCAAGACAAATTTTTACAATTTTTTTCAAATATACCCTCATTGTGTTGAAATTAAGGAAATGTGGAGTGGTTGTGATTAGAGTAAATAAGGTTAATTTAGTCAATTTATTCATTAATTAATGTCTCCTTAATATTTGTACAATAACCTTAAATGCCTTATATTTCAAAATGGAGGGAGTAATAATAAATACTGAATGCAAAAGGTCTGAAAAACACATGAATACAGGGGATTTGCCGGATGAGTATTAATGCTCTGTGGAACAAGATCAATAAAAAACATGCATCACAAAATGCTAAAATTAAGCACACTTTTGCATTAGCTGAACATTTAATAAGTATACGATATTAATACATGGATTATACCTCGGACGACCAACCAATATCATGGGAGCCACAAGATAGATGCAAGAAATTCACCTGTTGACAAATTCTTATATGATTTTCTCTCTCGAATGCTCCTAACCTATCAAGAACCAAAGCCAACCCTCTCAAGAACCTTCTTCCAAGAGATCGACTCCTCTATTTCTCCTCCGATCCCTAGTCCTCCAACCCTCTCGAAAATATCACCCCAATAAAAAAACTCTACCACTTCGTTAAAGGTCTCAACTTTATACAGATACCCAAACCCATTCATCAAATGGAAAAATTCAACACAATTTTTCAGCTCCCTAGCTGCAGCCAGTGTTCTTCAAGCAATTATGTAGGTCCTGACGTTGACTAGACGAAGCTGACCGATTTCCAGGCAGAGTTCCCATAAAAGATCGATGTTTCTTGATTTTCAGACGACGTCGACGATCTTGTTGAAGGTGGTAGGTGTGTGGGTGAAATTGAGTTGGGATGTTGGGGAGTAGGTAAAACATGGAAATTTGTTGCAGACTTGGAGGAAAAACTCGTGGTTGAGATTGAAGCGCGTTTGGTGAGGCTGGCAAGGAACTTTGTGTTTGGGGCGTTTTGCTGCTGGTAGAGGACTGTGCACACTCGAAGGAGGTGTACTTCATTGATCAAGATAAGGGTTGCGGCCAATGGTGGTGGAGAGGCGGCGGCAGTGGTAGTTAAGGATTGGAAGTGGAGATGCAGAAAGTTTAGGGGAGGTTTGGAGATTTTCATGAGACGGAGCATTTGGGGCCTACGTGTTGAAGCAAATTTGAATGTTAACTAATATAGGTGCTTCACATCGTAAAGACAATAAACAAAGTTCAAAACATCGAAGAGATATGTCCAGAGTTTCATGCATCTAAATTTGTTCATAGCTAACATCCCAAATGAAAACAGTTTTACCGGGCATAGTAAAATGAAAAAGAAAATAGGAAAAACTGATTCGAAACAAAGAAAAGCGTTCGATTCGATTATAGTTTGCATGGAGGAGAGTAATCCAATTTCTAGATGAAACCAAACAGTTTGTAAACAATTCTTCGCATGAGAAGGTGAGTGTATAGAGCAAGATAGATATCACTAAAACTAAACGAGCACTCTGGTAATATGACTAATATCCCTCTCCAGGAACTTAATCTCACATTCCTTAGAACCTGGCTGCAATTGTAAAATTCTTCTCTTGAGCGCATCAAACTCGACATCTTTGTAAGGATAGTCAGGAATCTTGATAACATTCATCAAGTTTAGGACTTCCGCATTTCTCAGAACATAACTTATGAATATCCATTCCTCTGTGCACTCGAATGGCTGGATCGTCACAGTTTTGAGATGCGATGATAGACACGTCGGAACTTGGTGGGGCTCCCTCCATTCTTTGATATCATCATTGCCCTGAAGTAGATAGAGAAAAAAGGAAAGGTCAGAAGCATTCACTCCCAATAGAAAACCAGTGATTAAAGAATAAACAAAAAGAAAAGTTGACAAACATTAACACGGATCATAAGGACTTCAAGATTATCAGCATTCTCAAGAAAAAACGAGATAAAACGCCAGTCTATACTCAATGTGAGTTTGGTTAAATTATGAAACTACAGTCAGAGCAGAGAATGCAGAGTTGGGAATCTGCAAGGAGGAAAAAGAAAATGAGAAAAAACAGTCAATAAAAACGTGAAATGGAGACCCAACAACCAGAAATCACAAAGAAATTACGTCGTGATCAAACTCTTACCTCCATCCATACAACCCATAAATCAAGACACCCCACATTACACAGCTTGCACACAACATCTAAAATAAAGCAAGAGTCGAGATGATCACAAGCGAAATAAGCATTTGCCACAACCAACGAACCAAGTGTCCCTAAAGATATATTAGCGAAAGCATACTTGACCATGTTTAAAAACCTAAGCGCCGGAGTAAGTAGCTTCACCCAAAACAAGTTATATTCACCAAATTCATCTTCAGTAGGTTGTATATTGAGTTTGAGCCTAAGTAGCGTTGGCGAACAAATCTCCAAATTTTGGGCCATATAATGATTATATTGTTAGAAAAATAATAAAAAAAATACACAGGAATCCTGA